ATTGTTTTTTAACTCTTGATTATAATGTTTGATAACGAGGGATTTAAATGCCACTAACTAGTTCGATGGGCCGCGCGCCTCATTAAGAGAGGTGAAATTTTTATTAGATTTGGAGATTAAATCTTTCACTTACTAATAACTAATAAAACTAATTTACTAATTATTATTTTTGTAAAAAAAAAAAATAATAATAAGGATTTGGAATTAGCTGTTTTCCTTATTGTGCCACTACTAATTTTTATCTCTTCTAACCAGAAAAAATTGAGATAAATTATTGTCCCATTATGGTCCTAAGTGATCGTTATCTTCTCTAACTATGAATCTATATAAACAAAACATGATAAAACTTTTGGTTAAACCTCAACAAATTGTTTAGTTACATTTATCAAAAAAAAAAAACTAATTGTTTATTTACAGAAAATCATGCCCAAAAAGAATCATGCGCCTCTTAAAGCTACCTCAAACATGATATGACAAAAATTACATCAAAAAAAAAAAAAATCACTTCCTCGTAAATATGGCTGTTTAGTTATATAAACTTAACAAAAAACCTAAAGGGTATGAATTTTTTTTTTTTTTAAATATAGAGACAATCTCAATAGACTTAAACAGCACAATACATGTAAATTAGGAAAAAACTAGAAGAAAACTGATCAACAAGCAACATGATCTTTTTCATCGTAAAAAAGGAGGGGCAAGTTAAGCCCTTGTAACAAGTTTATGAGATGTTGATACAGTAAGAGAGAAAATTACTGGTCAATGGAATGTCGTTTAACGTGGTGCTGACTAGTCACAAGACAAGTAACAAATTGCCAATAATCACACCCAATGGCAATAAGAATCACACCCAATTGCAATAAGACAATCTGTTTCAAATTCAATTATGAAGGTTGCCTTTTTGAGTGGTTGCTTGGTGGAAGAAGAAAATTAACAGATGTAGACATGTCAACTACCCCCACTTAAAAGTTCTCAACAACTTGTAGTACGTATTGAGACAAGCGTATCAGGGTCTGCATCGGTCGTATAAACTAAAGAAATTTGGAATTTGATTTTGATTCCGCACTTATAGCTGCACTATTATTTCTTTCAGCATTCCAGGTTAGTATTCTAAAAGGAAAAACACTCACCTGCCGCTGCCTTGGGTGGGACTTGGGAAGGGAAGCTGATAGAGTTAGGGCATGTTTGGATCAATTTTTAGGAATTTTAGTTTTTGGATATTATTTATATTTTATAAATTTAAATTTTTTTTAAAA